CACCGACTGACTCACCGACTAACTGACCGACCGACCGATCTACCAACTCATCGACCGACCAACTCACCGACTAACTGACCGACCGACCAATCTACCAACTCATCGACCGATCCACCGACCAACTCACCGACTAACTGACCGACCGACCGACCGATCTACCAACTCATCGACCGATCCACGGACCGACTCACCGACTAACTGACCGACCGACCGATCTACCAACTCATCGACCGATCCACGGACCGACTCACCGACTAACTGACCGACCGACCGATCTACCAACTCATCGACCGATCCACCGACTGACTCACCGACTAACTGACCAACTGACCGATCTACCAACTCATCGACCGATCCACGGACCGACTCACCGACTAACTGACCGACCGACCGTGCGTAGATAAGAAGAGGCACAGCCCCCCACCCAGCACAGCAATGCCGCATCACGGGACCCAACACTGCGGGTGTTCGGGCTACGGGCGGGGGTCCTGCAATTAATGCGTCCGGTTCCCTTCCATTGTAAAGAAGGCGTGCTGTTTGCTTCGTGTGTGTCAAAACTTAGGGAAGTGCTGTAGCTCTAAGGGTAGAAAACAAAAACAGATCCCCACACCACACAGACGGGATCCAATAATTGTCATCCACTTGCGCTGCTGCTGCTGCTACTATAACACCCGTGTCTTTGGCCACCAACGTCACAACTCCCGGTGGGATGTTGGGAGTCGCACGACTTGGCCGTGCCAGTGCCGTGGCAAGACGGATCCCATTTGTCGTGGTGGGAGAAGGGGGTACCGTTCAGAATTTAGCGTCGGCGACATTGACAGCTCCGTCACAATATTTCGCGTCTCTCTCACACGCGCGTGACGGAAGGCAGCTATCGAAGTGCCGGGGTCACCTGAAGGAACGAGGTGTGAACGTTCAGCTGGTCTTGTACTGCCATAGGCAGAGGGGGGTGGGGGGGGGGGGTAAGAGGCCTACGTGGAGGACACGAGGCCTCTTCATACCCGGAGCTCACGCGTGCTCCCCCACGTCTATTGAGCTGCAATCAACCGGCGGCGGGGGGGGGGGGGCCTCCCCCCTCTTTCGGAGAATGGTGCCAATCTGCAACCTCAACCTTGATGATGGCACCAGGACAAACGAAATAAAAAATGGCTTTTCAGCCCAAGAAGACCTTTTAGGCCATCTGGACCCCCCACGACGTGAACGGTACCACCCCATATGCACGCTTATGCTTGGTGTTGTCAGCTCCCCTATTTGGTGGTGCTTTGCAAACGTCTCCCTTGGCGCCATTTCTCCCGGGGGGTGGGATGGGATTTTGCCTCCTGATTTCCCTCCCACGTGCACAATGACGTTCATTTTTAAATCGCGGCCTGAAACGTCTTCAATAGGTACAGCACAGGGAGAACCGCCAGAGCTTGTGGGCAATCGTCGGAATAGTCGCAGCTGCTCTGCGGTGTCGTCCTCCTGGCACCCGGGAGTCGCCCTTTCCTCTAGGCCACTCTCAGAAACGTGAGCGAAAAAAGACGCTGCGTGGTGGCGGTGGTGGCGCTAGTCACCACATTACGAGTCGAAACACTTTTGTGATACAATCTATCATTGATTATCCGGCACTGCGGGATTGTCTGGCTGCTTCCAACATTTACCGGCGGTCCTGGGCCGATCTGGCGAAATCTGCAAAACCCCTCCAAAGGCTGTAACCAGTCTGATGGTCGGCACCGTGTGCGTGACATAAACAAAGTAGCTACACTTGATTTCAGTGTCCAATTCTACACTCCCCTGTCATCATCCCATGCTGAGTCTACGAGATTGAAGTAGTAAGTATGGTACAGTGAATCCAGTCTTTTTTTTACAGCAGGATATTTATGTTTGTCTATTTGTATGCTTACGCCAAATTTCACAAAAGTAAACAAATTTAAAACACAAAAAAACCTATACACAACACCTAAAAACCTAACGTTATGCACGAATGTGCAAAAATAGGATATTTTAAATAAGTATTTTGTGATTATCCGGCGTTTTTTAAAACACAGCGCCCCTTTCCCTTGAAGCCGCCGGATAATTGATGAGATACTGTAATTATATGGTGCATGTGTAATAAGTAAAAAAGAAACGGAAAAATGATCTCACCACCTAATTCACTCGAACCATGGAAAGACATTTAGTCTCAGTTAACGGTGGCATCGGTTAACGTTTTTTTGCAGTTAACGTTTAACGCCTCCCTTAGAGGGACTTCCACGGTTTCGACTTCAACGTTACCATTTTTGACTCACGGTCACGTGCTTGCATTATGTCACGTGCACCGGGTCACGCCATTTTCAGCCAATTGGAGTAGCTCGTTAAGTGGGGGGGGGCTGAGCCACGCCCGCAGCCAATTAGCTTCGAGCTCAACTGGCTTTGTCCGTTAATGCTTTTAACCACGTGATTCCTATATTCGATTAAGTTATTTGTGAACATTAGTCGTGGAACGGATTAAAAGGCGTTAACCGAGGGACTACAGTACTAGTCACGGATGAGGAGGCCACCATACTGCTTTTTTGTAACCTAAATAAATGATCGATAAATTGTTATTATAGTGACTTAAAGCTTTCATGACTGCAGGAATGCATATTCTTTGGGTCTTTCGGTATCTATGTGGCTTTACCGAAAGACCCAAAGAATGGTATAGTATTTTGGCTTAAAGCCCTCCACCCAGGAAGGTGGTGGGAATTCATATTCTGCGATTTTTTTTTACAAAATAACAAATCTCATTACCTCCTTCGTAGTCAAGAAAAAGACTTGAATCTGCAAGCACATCATTTACCATGGCTATCTCCGTATTGCCAACAATGCCACAAATGTTAAAACTGTAAGCTATCCTATTGCACCTGCCACGCCGTCATTGAATCTCCGAGCTGTGCTTTAAATAAAGCCACGTCGAAGCTTTGCGTACGACAAACGGGTTTGGCTATAAATAAAAGTCAACATTTGGTGGGAATCTATTAAAAATAAAACAAATACAAGCTAGTTAATGTCTATCGAGTTAACCCACACATGGGACACTACTAAATCATGAGTAGGGCCTCATTTTGTCAGATCTGACTCTTCATATTTGATCTTGACTGCAGGAATACATATTCTATGGGTCTTTCGGTAAAGACACAAAGATAGAACAATAATAAAAATATCACGACGTTTTGATCGCAACACAAGCAATCGTCTTCAGGTGAGCAAGCAATCGTCTCTCACCTGACGACGATTGCTTGTGTTGTGATCGAAACGTCGTGATATTTGTATTATTTTCTATCTTCATATTTGGGTTTTAACATAGTCAGGGTTAAAGAATCAAGTAGGCCTAGTTATCTGCGCCAATTCGAGCAGACTCTCTGGGCTCGCTGACCAGGCGAGAAGGAAGGGTAGAGGGGTGTCAGGCCTTGGGCCCTATGTTATGACATTCTCCAGGCTGACGTGAGGTCTGCAAGAGAAGCTTTCAATTGGTCCATGGGAGTTGAGCCGCGACAATTCAAAGGTGAAATCTGAGAAGGTCTAACACCTAGGGGGTCGTCAACCTGTAGATCCGGAGCCACGATAAACTGGACTTCCATAGAAGTCCTCCACTTCCATGGCAGTCCAGTTTACCATCGAGTTTACCATGAAAGTCTAGTTTACCATGGAGATCCAGTTTAACATGGGAGTCCAGTGCACCGTGGGTGTCCAGTTCAAGATGGAAGTCCAGTTTACCATACAAGACCAGTTCACCCTGGAAGTCCAGTTTACCATAGAAGTCCAGTTAACCTTGAGACCTTGAGAGTCTAGTTTACCATGGAAGTCTAGTTTACATGGAAATACAGTTTACCATAGGATTCCAGTTCACCATGGAAGTCCAGTTCACCATAGAAAACAAGTTCACCATGGAGGTCCAGTTTACCATGGAAATCCAGTTTACCATGGAAGTCCAGTTCACCATGGAAGTCCAGTTTACCATGGGAGTCCAGTTTACCATGGAAGTCCAGCATATCATGAAAGTCCAGTTCACCATGGAAGTCCAGCTTATCGTGGAAGTCCAGTTCACCACGGGAGTCCAATTTACCATGCGGGCTCATTCAGGGCTGTTTCGTGGTGTTATTTATGAAGGGCCACCGTCTTATGTTCACTGCGTGTGCATTGTGGCTCTTGAAATATTTGTTTTTTACTGAATTCTAAAGAAAATGTCTCTTCTCGTTGATGTGGTTGCCAACCCCCGTGGTGTGACAGATGGACGGTGCTATTCGCACGCAAGTGGATGGACATTCAATCCCAGGCAAACTAAAACAGGCAAACATTTAAGTTTACCAGGTAAGGCCCACTGAACTGCTACGTAGATCTTTTTAAAGAAGCGACTCTGGCTATCACAAATGATCGCTCAACGAAGTGGCTGGCTTATCATCATCGTCGTGTGGAAATGTATAGCGGTCAAATACTCTAAACGCGTAATGTTGATTCTAAATGTGGAGGGGAAAACCAGGATGACCCGGGAGAGGTACACACAAACTCCCAAATATACAGCAGGCGTCGGGGTTGCAATCGAACCCACGACCTCCTGCATACGAAGCGAGGCAGTTAGCATCTCCTAGCTGCGATCATTATATTATGTAACAGGCATTGTCACCTCGCGATTCGCCAATCCCTAGCTCCACATCGTTAACACACACCGATATTATTATGCACATCTCCATAACCATCACCACCTCCACTACCAACGGGAGCTCCGTTGTATCTATGGGACATTTTTTTTTACCAGTGTCAAAGTATGAAAAATAAGAATAGATTTGACCCTTTCTGCCAAAAAATGTAATAATAGCTGTTAAGAAGTCCAAGACACCAAATAGATAGCTTTAGATGTGTGGTTAATGCGGACTCGATTCCTTGAAAAAGGTATATATTTGGTCTATTAACATCTGAACACCTGTTTTATTGCCACAAAGGGTAACACCTATTATTATTTCATACCACCACCTCCATTACCACCTCTAACACCATCACCACCTCCATCGCCACCTTCATCACCACCTCTATCATCACCTCCATTACCATCACCACCTCCATCACCACCTCCATCACCATCACCACCTCCATCACCACCTCCATTGGCTGGGAGGGCCGGGTTGGATCGGCTCAGGCCGGGCGTGCAATCTCCTCCATTGCCGCGCCTGCCCCCCCCTACCCCCTCCAGCCTCTCACCCACGCGATGTGCAAATGGGGACGACGATGACGAGCACGAGGGTGCAGAAGGCGGCGACCACGAGCGCCACGAGCTTGCAGCGCCGCGCCCGGACGTGCGCGCGGCCCTTGCGGCGCAGCAGCGAGTCGTAGGAGGGCGCCAGCGAGCGGTCGGGGCGCCTCTCGGAGGGCCAGCAACGCGGCACGCCCGCCGCCACCGCTGTCTCGGAGCCACCGCCAACGCCGCCGTCACTACCGCCACGGCCACCACCGCCTCGGCCCCGCCGGCCCAGCCACGCGCGGGCCTCATCGTCGTCATCGCCAGTGGAGAAGTCGAGGGAGAAGTCCCGCGGCATCTTGCCACAGAGACAACGACAAAAGACGGGAGGGGGCAGAAGAAGGTCGTGACCGCCGCCACCCTTCCACGACCCCACGTCGTCACAGAGTTGTTGACAACGTTGTTGTTAGCCGCACAGCTCCCAGTGAGTTGAACATATGGCAGTAGTAGTAGTAGTAGGGCGTTCTCGACCAATATTATCCATAATAGAGGTTAAATTTGGGTTCGATTTGGATTCAATTTGGGTTCGATTTGGGTTCGATTTGGGTTCGATCGCTCCCAGTGGGCTTCCTAATATCGGAAGGAAGGGGGCCTCCAGACGGCCGTGGAAGTGCGTCTGAAAGCGCCGCGCGATGCGGCGTGACCACCGCCTTTGCTTCGGTGGCTTAGCCCAATAAAGCTGCCGCTGTGAGGATAAGCAGAGATGATGGTTTAGAGCTCCATGACGAGATCAGCGAGGTCCTCGTGGTTCTATTTGTGATGGCCATGGGTCACTTCTAAAGGGAAAAAAACTAGACAGCTCGGTGGGCCTTGGTTACATTGGTTACCTGGTAAAATGACAAAATAAACTGAGTTCATCATCATCATCACGATACATGGGGGCAGAGAGGCCACTGTAGTAGGTGTCCACTGAAACATTTCGTCATTTGTTTTCCATTCTCTCTCAGCCTTGTATTGGCAATATGCAATGAGTAGTACGCCACGTCTCCCTAGAAACCAAATCTCTGCATGTTACGAATATTATTTAAAAAAAAACCCGGTTGGATGTTCGTACACGGACGACTTTGTTAGGGGTGGCGGAGTCATGATCGGGCCCTCCCCTGCCCCCCCCCCCCCCCACACTCACCACCGACTCCCGTGGACACCTCCTGGCCTTCGGCGTCCACGAGGCGTGGTCGTGAACGCTCCACACCGACTCGGGCCCCGCCAGGGCCACCCCGCTGCCACGGCACCCGCGCTCGCGTCCCCGGCCCCCCGTGAGGCCCCCGCCCCCCGTGAGGCCCCCGCCCCGCGCTCGCCCGGAGGCCCCCCCCGCCGAGCGACGGGAGGGGACTCCGGTGGCGGTGGCGTCGCCGCGGGGGGCCCCCGGCACTGCCGTCGCCGCCGAGCCGCCCGGCGCGCTGAGAACGGTGTCGCTACGCGGGAGGAGAGCAGCGTAGAGGCCCAGGCGCTGGTACGGTGGGGGGGGGGGGGGGGGGTAGCAGATATGGGGGCGTGGGGGGGCAGCAGAGAGGGGGGCAGCAGGGGAGGGCGGACAGGAGCAGAGCCGCGGTCACAACCGGCCACTATCGCCCCCCGCCACGACCCTCACGATCACCAAGACCAGGGGTCACCAAACTACGGCCCGCGGGCCGCATCCGGCCCGCGACGTCAGTCCATCAGGCCCGCCGACGGTACTTGAATTTGGTTGATAAAACGTATGGAACACGAGACGTTGTGATACAATTTAAATTTAAATATTATGTTTAGAATACCAGGAGATCTTCACGCGTGCGCAGACCTCCTTACTGCTATGTGCCTTAAATTTACTATTTAAAATTTTTAATTATTGCATCTAGATGTTCTTGTTAATTCTAATGTTTGCTTATTTCGCGCCATCCCAAGTCCTTCCCCGGCTCGTGGTAGCTCCGCCTACGCTCTGACGTCACCATGGTTTCCATGGCAACGTCATGGCAACACGTTACCATGGTTTCCATGGCAACACACACAAATACGCATCTTTCCCGCCCCCAAGTATTGAACATAATGTTTATGCGGCCCGCGATCGTCATTCTATCAGTTATCCGGCCCGCTGTGAAAAAAGTTTGGTGACCCCTGACCAAGACCAATACCCCCACCATTCGCCACTAAGTGTCGGTGACGTCACCACGACGCCTGTGCCAGGCCAGGTGCACTTTGAGGCCACGTGAAGTGTCGAAGGCTCGCTGGCAGGAAGTCTCGGGACAGACCCAGCAGGTGCCATGGGGTTGGCTGACTGAGATCACCTGTAGATGCACCACCAGCTGTACCTCCTACTGTGCCAACTTGCTGCATTTTATCCGTGAGCGTCGCTCCTCTGCCCTCCGTTGTTGCTGGAGGGCGACTGCCTCCAACTGCCCAGTAGCAGCAGCGTCCTTCACGAGCCTCCTCCACAGAGGCCGATCTTGACACCGCTGGCACCGGTCGTCAGCAAGTCCACTCAGCTCCACAGCGCCGCGCGATAACAACCACTACAACCACGACCACAACCACCCCCACGACAACTACCCCCACCACACCCACCACCACTCACATGCGGGTCGCTCCACATCTGACTCGACGCTCTCTCCCTGCCGCCGCGGGACCTGCGCTCCCTCGCGCTGCCCTCCGCCCTGCCCAGGCTGTGGACCGCTCCCGCCCCCCCCGGCCCCCCCGCCCCCCCCGCCGGCGGCTCCCCGGGGACGGCGCAGAGCGACACCCACGAGCCGCGAGCCGCCGCCGCGGCCGCCACCCCGCCGGGGTCGGCGGCGCTGAACGAGCGGCTCCGCCGGTCCAGCGGGACCGAGCGCGGAGTCGCTGCCCCGCGAGACCTCGAGCCGTGGAGGAAGCCCTCGTCCTGGGGGCGTCGGGGGTCGATGGGGGCATTGGTCAAGCATTGGGTGGATGGTGCATTGGGTCAATGAGCATTGGTCAGGCAGGGTCAACGGTGCATTGGGTCGATGGGGCATTGGTCAGGCATTGGGTCAATGGCTATTGGTCAGGCAGGGTTAACGGTACATTGGGTCAATGGACATTGTTCAGGCAGGGACAATAGGCATTGGTCAGGCAGAGTGAATGGCTATTGGTCAGGCAGGGTTAACGGTGCATTGGGTCAATGAGCATTGGTTAGGCAGGGATAAAGAGCATTGGATCAATGGGCATTCAGTCAATGAGCATAGGTCAGGATGGGTCAACGAGCATCGTTGATCGGCCGCTGCCATGACGGCCGTCTGGTCCATCTCCCAACCTGCGACGCTTCCGCCGAGGCCGACACGGACGCCGACGTGGATCTGTAGGAGTGCTCCTTCGCCGCCGCCGCCGCTCCTCCTCCTCCCGCTCCTCCTCCATCCCCGACGGTGCCTGCGCAGCCTTTGGCGGAGCTTGCGGTCGCCTTCCCCACCGCCGCAGCCGCAGCAGAGGCGGCTGCGGCGCTCCCCACATCGACGCCGTTGGCCGCCGCGTGCCTGTGGCGGACCAGCCTCGGAGTTGCTCCGGCTGAGACGGAGGAGATCATTCCCCCACCGAGCTGCTGGTGCTGCTGGTGCTGCTGGTGCGACGGCTGCAGCTGATCGGTCGACGAGGAGAGTGAGGAGGCTGGCGGAGGAGGCGGCGGGACGATGCGCGCGTCGAGCTGGTCGAGTTTGACGAGCACCTGGGATACCTCGCCGCGCACTCCGGCCAGCGCCTCAAGGCGGCGCTCCATTTCGACGACGCGCTGCGCCAACTCCGAGACGCTCGCCTCCAGCTCCTCGGGCTCGAGACTCGCGGTCAAGACGTCGGCGTTGTCCTCGTCCTCGCCCTCCTCGTGATGGTGGTGATGACGATGATGATCACGATGGTGATGATGATCGTCGTTGTCATCGTCGTCGTCGTCGTCGTCATCCCTCGTGCCGAGGGAGCGGTGATGGCCTCGCTGCAGACGCTCGCGTTTCTGCTGGATGTTCGGCTGTCGCTGCTGTTGTTGATGTTGTTGATGGTGGTTGTGGTGGTTGTGGAGGAGGAGGTGGTGGTGGTGGTGCTCTTGTTGTTGCTGTTGCAGGTGTTGTTGATTGTGTTGCTGCTCATAGTCGTCGGGTAGCTCGTGACTGTATTGTTCAAGTTGATGGAGGTGGTGGTGCTGCTGCTGGTGGTGGTCGTAGCGATCGTGTTGCTCGTGGAGCTGAGGCTGAAGCTGCTGGTCTTCGTTTTGCTGCTGCTGATGTGGATCGTGGTGATTATGATTCTCGAAAGAAAGTTGCTGCTGTAGCTGCTGCTGTAACTCTTGCTGCTGTTGCTGATTATGATGATGATAAAATTGCTTCGGCTCATGAAGATGATGAGACGGCTGCTGCTGATTATGATGATGACGCTGCTGCTGATGATGGAGTAGATCGCGACTGTGACGCCGCTGCTGCTGAGAATGATGATGCTGCTCCTGCTGATGATGATGCTGATGATGATGATGCTGCTGCTGATGATGATGCCTCCCGTGATGCCTCTTCCCGCGTGCGTGCCTCTCGCCGTTTTGAACTTCGCGCCTGGCAAACCGCCGCGCTGCGGCAGCCGCCGCCGCCACCGCTGCCTCCTCCTCGTCCTCCCCCGCGTCTCCTTCCCGCGTCCTTCGCTCCTTCTCACGATCGCGACCTCCGGACACGGGCGAGGTGGGCACCGAGCGACAGGATCGCGCCGCGGGCAGCGGCGGGGACACGTCGGGCGGGGAGTTCCCCTCGGGGATGGAGCCGAGCCTCAGCGGAGGACCCCCCCTGCTGAACTGGGTGGCGAACCCGGGCTTTGCGACGCGCGCGGCGACGCCGTTGCCCAGGATGGGGTCGGCGAATACGTGTGGTTGCTGTTGCTGCTGCTGCAGTTGCTGCTGCTGCAGTTGCTGCTGCTGCAGTTGCTGCTGCTGCACTTGCTGCTGCTGATGATGATGATGCTCGTCTTGCTGCTGATGCTGTAGGACATTATGAAGATTCATGATGTGGTGCTTCTGAACCAGCTGGAAGGGGTTATTTTGGAAATAGTGCTGCTGTTGCTGTAGATGTTGTTGATGTTGCATGTGATCGTTGCACGCACGCTGCTGATAGGCCTGATGGTGCTCGACCGCGTGGCGTGGAGCCGTCGCCAATACATCACCAACAACACCACCACCACCACCGTGACGGCGCCCACCACCACTGCCACCACCTTCCACGCGAGGGTCAAGCTCATCCAGCAAGCCGAACATTGCGCCGAAGTCGATGGAGTCTTCCGCGTCGGCGAAGCTGCGCTCCGTGTTGGTGCAGTAGCCCGTGTCGGCGGACGACTCCTTGGAGAAGTAGCGGCGATGAGGTCCCTTGAAGGCGCCGCGGGGCAAATCTCCCGCGTATCCCTCCGCATCCATCGAGTCGTCCGTTTCGATGGTGCGGTTATTATTGGCGGTGGTGATGGGTTGTGGTTGGTGCTGATGGTGGTGGTGTTGTTGTTGGTGGTGGTGGTGGTGGTGTTGTTGGTGGTGGTGGTGTTGTTGTTGGAGGTGCTGTTGCAGGTGTTGGAAGCCGCCGTGTCTCTGGGAGGCGAGGGAGGGCGACGCGAATGAGTGGAGGGATGAGAGGTTTGGGGAGCTCTCCATGGTGCTGAAAAACAGGACGGGCAGGCGAGGTCTCAATCACAGTCACCAACACCGTCGGCTCTTTATCTGAGCCGGGCCTGCGGCCTCCCCTACGTCGATGCGGCCTCGAATGAGTACACGGAGCGATGTGGAGTAAGTGTCGCCGCTAGGGAGACAAAGGCGTGTGTGTGGTTCCGGCCTTCATAGGTGCTACTCGCCAATAGCACTTGCCCCAACAGTCCGTTTCAAAGGCTATTGTGGTCATAATTAATGTTAATATGTTAATGGTCGGAGCGGAAGTGTAGCGATTAGCACGCTTTGCTACGAACCCGGCGACCCGAGTTCGATTCCCGCTTTCGAGCTATGAATAATCTGAATCCCGGTCGTGGGCCTCCCCTAGGTCGACTCAGCCTTAAGTTAGAACCCGGTGCCGAGTGCAGTGAACTGACGCAACCTCCCTACCTGAGTATGCCAATAATAAATTGTCCTGGCAAAATTTCTCGATGCTCAATTTCGCGAATAAATAGCCAGACAGCTAGCAGCACACGCCGAGCAGAATCAGAATCTTTATCCTGGAAGGAATCCGATGAGCTATGAAGCTCTTTTTTTCACAGGTGTTCAGTCGGGGCAGGCCAACAAAGTACAACTACTCCTTGGTTTTATTCGGTCAAGTCACGTAGATAAAATACAATTAAACAAAATAAAAAGAAAATCACGACGTTTCGGAGGCAACACAAGTTTACGTCTTCAGGTGGAATAGTCACAGCAAAAGATCTACACAGATCTTGCAGTCACGAAAGCTTCAAATCTAAAGTACAACTACAAATGATATAAAACGCGTTAGGAGTCCAAAGTATAGGAAAGGTAAGCAAGTCACTAAAAATAAATAGGGCGTGTTGTTGATTTTTCAACACAAAATGCAAGCTTGGAGCGAGGCAGAAATACAACAACAGTCCCAGGCCACACCAAGACAACAACAACAACACACAGTCCCTCAATAGAACTGCACATTTCAAATGGGACTATCGATAACACACGGGCAAGGATCAAGGTTACCAGAACATGGCATTTGCAAATGTGGCCGTAATCCAGCACTAAATCCTTCTGCCTGCAGCAGAGGTGAGCTGCGTTTGCTCGGTTCATTGCCTTGCGATACTATCACAGGTGGGGGATAGCGACTCGGGGTCGCACTTTGTGCGTTCAGGGTCCGTGGCTCTCTGCCGTAGGATCATTCATCACCATGATGGTGGTGGTGGCAGCAGTAGGGGTGGGGGGCGGTGCGGACCCCGTGGTTGCGGCCTGAGAATCCAAACCATCATCCCCTCTATAGCCAGAGGCCGTCCCTAGGGTGCGGCGAAGAGGCGGGGGAGTGGGGACGGGTGGCGAAGGGGGCGGGGGTAGCGAAGGGGGAGGGGGGGGCCTCGGCTCACAATCAGCCGGTACCAAGAACGGAACACTTTTCTGTGTGCTCCGTGTCATACCCCCACCCCCCCTCAACTCGTCCGACCGTGGGCGAGGGAGTGGCGGCGGTGGTGAACGGTCGCGGCTAGCTCGCTGCGCTGTGCTATGAACCCGGCGAATCCGAATTAGATTCCCGCTCACGGCCACCACCAACACCAGTGACGATTATTTGAACCGGTCCTGGGACTCCCCTAGATCGACTCAGCCTCAAATGAGTACCTGCTGCGGTGTGTAAACATCGCCACTGGGGAGACAAAGGCGGCCGGGCGTGGTGTGGGCAACCCACCCCCCTCGTGCACCGTTCCGGCCTTCATTGATGCTCACTAACAGCACTTGCCCCAACAGTCTGTTAAGTCTGTACGGGGGATCTTAGTGGTCAGGCTACACATGGTTTTCCTGTGATCTCAGTAGCGCTGTGCAGGTAGCAGCAGCAGCAGCAAGCGGTTGATGGATCACCACACAGTGAAACTCCCTTCCTACCCGTGGGTGGGCGCCGAGGAGGAGCCGTCGCCCCTGGCTGTGCCAGAAGAAGGCAGTTATGGGATAGAGAGTTTGACCCTCGCACGCAGTGGAGTTTCTTAGTTTTCTCCAGGTGCTCCGGTTTCCTCACACTCATAGTCAAGCACGGAGGGAGAGAGACCAACCATTTAATGATGCCGATAACACCTTAATATATAAAGGACCGCAGAGCTTGGTCAATCGTTGGAAGCACCACCGCGTCTGTGGTTCCTCCTCCTGACGCCTCGGAGTCGTCCTCTCCCTCTCTCTGAGTCATCTTCTCTCTCTCTCTCTCTGAGTCGTCCCCCTGTCTCTCTCTGAGTCGTCCTCTCTCGGAGTCATCCTCTCTCTCTCTGAGTTGTTCTCTCTCTGAGTCGTCCTCTCTCTCTGAGTCGTCCTCTCTCTGAGTCGTCCCCCTGTCGCTCTCTGAGTTGTCCTCTCTCTGAGTCGTCCTCTCCCTCTCTCTGAGTCGTCCCCCTGTCTCTCTCTGAGTCGTCCTCTCCCTCTCTCTGAGTCATCTTCTCTCTCTCTCTCTGAGTCGTCCCCTGTCTCTCTCTGCGTCGTCCTCTCTCTCTGAGTCGTCCACCTGTCTCTCTCTGAGTCGTCCTCTCCCTCTCTCTCTGAGTCGTCCCCCTGTCTCTCTCTGAGTTGTCCTCTCTCTGAGTCGTCCTCTCTCTGAGTCGTCCCCCTGTCTCTCTTTGAGTCGTCCCCCTGTCTCTCTCTGAGTCGTCCTCTCTCTGAGTCGTTCTCCTGTCTCTCTCTGAGTCGTCCCCCTGTCTCTCTCTGAGTCGTCCTCTCCCTCTCTCTGAGTCGTCCCCCTGTCTCTCTCTGAGTCGTCCCCCTGTCTCTCTCTGAGTCGTCCTCTCTCTGAGTCGTCTTCTCTCTCTCTGAGTCGTCCCCCTGTCTCTCTCTGAGTTGTCCTCTCTCTGAGTCGTCCCCCTGTCTCTCTCTGAGTCTTCCTCTCTCTGAGTCGTCTTCTCTCTCTCTCTGAGTCGTCCCCCTGTCTCTCTCTGAGTCGTCCCCCTGTCTCTCTCTGAGTCGTCCTCTCTCTGAGTCGTCCTCTCTCTGAGTCGTCCCCCTGTCTCTCTCTGAGTCGTCCTCTCTCTCTGAGTCGTCACCCTGTCTCTCTCTGAGTCGTCCTTTCTCTGAGTCGTATTCTCTCTCTCTGAGTCGTCCCCCTGTCTCTCTCTGAGTTGTTCTCTCTCTGAGTCGTCTTCTCTCTCTCTGAGTCGTCCCCCTGTCTCTCTCTGAGTTGTCCCCCTGTCTCTCTCTGACTCGTCTTCTCTCTCCCTCTCTCTGAGTCGTCCCCCTGTCTCTCTCTGAGTCGTCCTCTCTCTGAGTCGTCTTCTCTCTCTCTGAGTCGTCCTTTCTCTCTGAGTCGTCCTCTCTCTGAGTCGTCTTCTCTCTCTCTCTCGGCGTCGTCCGATCTCGCTCTCTCCACGAGAGCGAGCTGATAATTATCGTTATCAATGGAGGTAGTTGTGTAGAGACGGTATGAGAATGTCCCATACCTGAGACTCTGTGCTCGTGGCTTGCCCGAGTTTGGCAGCAGATGTCTCGCTCCGAACCTGCGATATATAGAGGGTGGCCCAAAAGTCAGGACACATAAGGTTGTTATACAGGGTGGCCCAAAAGTCAGGACACAGGGTTGTTATACAGGGTGGCCCAAAAGCCAGGACACATAGGGCTGTTATATTTATTTTAACGAATTACGAAGAGTTTTAATTTATTTTCACAAATGTTCAAACCGACTTCTATTAACAGGAATGCATGATGCATGGTTTCTCTTTTGAAATAAATTTGGGACTCATTACACATTGCACATTACTCATTACACATTACAGGTGCAATCTTTGGAAATCCATAAATTACGTTTTTTGTCTCCAATCAGAACATTTTCTTTAAACAAAAATACAATCTGAAAAGGCAAAGACAGAAGAAGAAAACTAGATACAGTAGTAATATTGATAAGACGAGATAAAAAAAACATTTAAGAATAATAAATTAACGTATTTTAATGCCGGTGTTTATGAAAATCTAATAACCCTATTTGTCTTGACTCACACCGTCTCTACACAACCACCTTCATTGCTCACAAGTATCAGCTCGCTCTCGTAGAGAGAGCCAGAAAGGACGACTCAGAGAGAGAGATAGAGGACGACTTAGAGAGAGAGGACGACTCACGGAGAGAGAGAGAGGGGACGATTCAGAGAGTGAGAGGACGACGCAGGGAGAGAGAGGGGTGGCTCAGAGAGAGAGAGAGGGGACGACTCAGGGAGAGAGAGAGGGGACGACACAGAGAGAGAGGACGACACAGAGAGAGAGAGAGGACGACACAGAGAGAGAGGGGACGACTCAGAGAGAGAGGGGACGACTCAGAGAGAGAGGGGACGACACAGAGAGAGAGGGGACGACTCAGAGAGAGAGGACGACTCAGAGAGAGAGGACGACTCAGGGAGAGATAGGACGACTCAGAGAGAGAGGACGACTCAGGGAGAGAGAGGACGACTCAGAGAGGACGACTCAGAGGGGCCAGGAGGAGGGACCACAGACGAGGAGTGGGAAGGTCGCAGCAGCTGGAGCCACGCAGTGGTTAGGAGCTGGGGGTACCGACGATTGCCCGCGCTCTGCTGACCTCTATATATGAACGTAGTTGTCGGACCAATTAAACGGTGGATCTCTCTGCCTTCGTGCAGGAATATGTTTACATGCATCACTTCCTTATGTATATGCACAAGCCTCCGTGTTCACGTGTGTATGCGTGCACTGTTTGTGTGTTTCTGTGTACGTGGGGAGCGGTGCCGGCCTTCGTAGGTGCTACTCGCTAACTGCACTTGCCCCTACAGCCTGTTCAGGCTCTCCGGGGAATCTTTGTCACGTGCATGTGTGCCAGGGTATGTGTGTGGTAGAAGGGGAGCGGTGGTGTAGCGGTTGGCGCGCTGCGTGACGAACCCGGCGACGCGAGGTCGATTCCCGCTCACGGCCAACACCAGAGCCGATTATCTGAACTGGTCATGGGCCTCCCCTAGGTCGACTCAGCCTCAAATGAGTCACACTGTGAGCATCGCCGCGAGGGAGACGAAGGCGGCCGGGCGTGGTGCTGGCCACCCACCCCCTCGTGCGTCGCTCCGGCCTTCATAGGTGTTGCTGCTAGTCGTTAACAGCTCTTGCCCCAATATTCTGTTCAAGGCTACACAGGGGAGCTTTGTCTTTGTCGTGAATGCATGTGTGCGTGTTCAGTGACGTCACCAGAGGCAATGATTGAGAGTGGGCTGTCAGCCGATCAATACCCCTCCCCTCTTCACCCCCCCACCCCCCACGTAGCATTACAAGACGGTGGAATTGCTGTTTGCGAGCATCTATTAGGACAGATGCACAGTGGATAGCGGAAGGTCTGCTGAGCAGCAACATACATGGCTTGGTTATGGACAAGGGAAACCTTGTACTGGAATTGAACCGGGGTTCGCGATGGCAGTCGGTGAAGATGTGACCCCCCCCCCCCACCCAAAGGTGCCGCTTGTAGCCTCTAACAGGCTGTTGGACGGACAAGTGAGTTAGCGAGTAGCAGCAACAGCCATGAAGGCCTGCTCGGCGCACGAGGGGGTGGGTGGCCAGCACCACGCCCGGCCGCCTTCGTCTCTCTCGCGGCGATGCTCACAGTGAGACTCATTTGAGGCTGAGTCGACCTAGGGGGAGGCCCCCAGCAACGGTTCTGATATTTCGTCACGGATGTTGGGACTCGCTCTGCCGGCTTCGTTGGCGCAGTGCAGCGCCAACCGCTGCGCCACCTTTCCCGATTCACACACACAAACATACACACACAAACATACACACACAAACATACACACACAAACATACACACACAAACATACACACACAAACATACACACACAAACATACACACACAAACATACACACACAAACATACACACACAAACATACACACACAAACATACACACACAAACATACACACACAAACATACACACACAAACATACACACACAAACATACACACACAAACATACACACACAAACATACACACACAAACATACACACACAAACATACACACACACTCACACACACACTCACACACACACACTCACACACACACACTCACACACACACACTCACACACACTCACACACACTCACACACACTCACACACACTCACACACACTCACACACACTCACACACACTCACACACACTCACACACACTCACACACACTCACACACACTCACACACACACAAAAGATAAAGATCCCCCATATAGCCTTAACAGACTGTAGGGACAAGTGCTGTTAGCCAGCACCTATGAAGGCCGGAACGGTACACGAGGGGGTGGGTGGCCAGCACCACGCCCGACCGCCTTTGTCTCCCTAGTGGCAATGTTTACACACCGCACCAGGTACTCATTTGAGGCTGAGTCGACCTAGGGGAGGCCCGGGACCGGTTCAGATAATCGTCACTGGTCTTGGCCGTGAGCGGGAATCGAACCCGGGTCGCCAGATTCATAGCGCAGCGCGTTAACCGCTACACTATCGCTCCCCACTACACAAACATACACACACACAAACATACACACAAACACACACACAAACATACACTCACACAAACATACACACAAACACACACACAAACACACAAACAAACACACGCACAAACATACACACAAACACACACACATACACACAAACACACACAAACACACACACAAACACACACAAACATACACACAAACACACACGAACATACACAAAAGACAACGATCCCCCGTATAGCCCTTAACATTTTGGGGGCAAGTGCTATTATGTTATAGCGAGCACCCCAAAAAAAATCCACTCTCTCTTTCTCTCCCCTCTCGCTCCATCCCCCTCGTGCGGTTTATTCACTCCCCTCTCACTCTCTCCACACACTCCCCACCACTCCCCTCTCACTCTCTCCACACACTCCCCACTACTCCCCTCTCACTCTCTCCACACACTCCCCACCACTCCCCTCTCACTCCACACACTCCCCACCACTCCCCGCTCTATCCACACACTCCCCACCACTCCCCTCTCTCTCCACACACTCCTCACCACTCCCCGCTCTCTCTCTCTCCACACACTCCCCACCACTCCCCTCTCTCCACACACTCCCCACCACTCCCCTCTCTCTCTCCACACACTCCCCACCACTCCCCGCTCTATCCACACACTCCCCACCACTCCCCTCTCTCTCCACACACTCCCCACCACTCCCCTCTCTCTCTCTCTCCACACACTCCCCACCACTTCCCTCTCTCTGCATTCATTCTCTTAAATGAATTCCCTTATGCTACACCTCCTTATCAAAATTCCTAACGATGCACACGCGCACACACCATATACACAGATGTGTGCTATCAATGCATTTGCTCGCGAGCAATACTGCGTGCAGCATTTGCAACTCACCGGTTTCTTGTTGGTGAGCATCTATTACATCCGACTAAAACATTCATAATATCACACACACACACTACATAGACATTACAGCATATGCATTGTATTCAGGTCAATGTGTACTGCATGTCTTTAGTATGTACACATGTCCACACATAATGACATGCACGTGTGTGTGAGCGCATTCATGTTTATGCATTATGCAGCATGCGCATATCTTTCGTGTGTGTGTGTGCGCCTGTGTGTGTCTGCGTGTAATTTGTATGTACTGCATATATCTGTGTGTGTACATATGTGTGTGTGCACATATGTGTGTGCACATGTGTGTGTTTCGTGTGTACATATCTGCATGCCATTTTTGTGTATGTGTAAATATTTGTGTGTGTGAGTGCCCACATATACATATGTGTATACATGTCTTCAGGTTCACATGCGTGTACATGTGTGTGGACATGCGTGCCTCTGTGTGTGCGTAGATGAGAGTGTCTGCGTGTTGGCCACCCACCCCCTCATTACCGTGCCGGCCTTCAGAGGTGCTCGCTAACAGCACTTGCCCCAAAAGCCTGTTAGAGGCTATACAGGGACCTTTACATGTGTCTTCGGTGGCGTCGGTGTGTACGCGCGTGTGTGTGCGCGTGTGTGTGTGTGCGCGTGTGTGTGCGCGTGTGTGTGCATACGCAGACGCCGCATGCCGATGCGATGGTGGACGCAACTCACGATCATTCTCGACTCTCCATTGAAGCCGGTATCTCGTTCTCTCTCTTTGCCTCTCCCTCCGTCTCCGTTTCTCTGTCTCCCTCCCAAGCTCCCTCCTCTTCTTCCTCCTCCTCCTCCCACTCTCTCTCTCTCTCGTCCCCCCTCTCTCCCTCTCTATGACACTGCCTCCTCCTCCTCCCACGCACACACACTCTCTATGCGTCTTCTCTTCCCCACTCTGCCTCTCCCTCTCTCTGCGTCTCCCCCGTCTCTCCCACACTTATCTATATTTCTCTGTCTCTATCCTCCCACATGCGTTACCATCTTCCTGGTCTCTCTGTTCATCCCTCCCAGAATCTCCCTGCGTGCTTATCCGTCTCACGTTCACTCTCACCGAAGCTAACACTCCAATCCCACGTAGTACAACAGCCTTCCGGATTGTATGCGAGAGGTGTGCTGTTATCGAGCACCTATTAAGGCCGGTTACACCACGTTACTAACAATCATTTTTTTTATATTTTTTTGCAAGGTAAGGCCCACTGAGTTGCCATATAGCGCTGTTAATTAGAAGCGACGCTGGCTATCACGAATGCTAGCTCAACGAAGTGGCTTATCATGGTGTGGAATCTAGAGCAGCTAAATACACGGCCACGGGAAGAGACAGAGAGACACGCAAACTCCAAATATCCAGCAGCAGGCGTCAGGGTGGGAATCGAACCCACGACCTCCTGTAGACCAGGCGAGGGAGTTAACATCTCCTAGCCACCATGGCGTCCCCGTTGCGATGCGGCAGAAGTTTACAACGGACCAGGTATTCACTTGAGTCGCTAGTTGACCTGGTGTGGGTTTGTGGTCGAACTCAGACATGACTATGTTCATAGCGCCATTCAGCATCCACATAGCCAGAACAGACTGTTGGGACAAGTGCGTTTAGCGGGTAGCACCTATCAAGGCCGGCACGGCACACGAGGGGGTGGGTGGCCAGCACCACTCCCGGCCGCCGTTGTATCCCCAGTGGCGATGTTTACACACCGCACCGGGTACTCATTTGAGGCTGAGTCGACCTAAGAGATGCCCAGATATTCGTCACTGGAGTTGGCCATAAGTGGGAATCTAACTCGGGTCGCTGGGTTCGTAGCTGAGTGCGGCGCTAACCACTGCGCCACCGTTTTGTTGGTGAGCGCCCAGTTGAGATTGAGTGGCAGGGCCCAAATCTCAACATCATCCCACCAGGTAAGGCCCCTCGCCACCATGGCGCCCACACAAGGAGGAGGCTTACCCAAGGCTTTGCTTGGAAAGCCAGAGAGCCGTGTGGCGCTGCAAGGAGAGAGTGGCCACACACCATCTCATCGGTAGCCTGCTGCTACGTAGCACGATTTCAATGCCTTCCTATTCTTGCACGTGCCAAGATAATCGGGAGCTGTTGATGTTCTGATGCGGCTCATGGTTGCAGCACCTGTGTCTTCGAGGAAGAGGATGAGGCCAGAAGGTCGTGTGATGATGTTTGGTTTTCGGATTACGTGGTGTTTCATAGTTTAACACGTTAGTAGGCTTTCGCGACCAATATTAACCATCATAAAGGTTTAATGGGTTAGATAGATACGGTTTGACACGTAAGCAAACGTGCAAATTAGCTACCACTTCAAAACACCGGTTGTGTGTTTGGAGAAAAACACTACAATGGTGGATTAACGACACATTTATATTAACGCGATCTAACCAGCAGCGCAACGATTTGTCTCTTTGCACGGTCGCACCTAGAAGCTATTATATATCGCTCACGGTCTCGAACATTTAACGCTGTATGGGGGTCGCTCCTCCGTCTTCGAAAAAAATGCAGCCACTACAGCGCCGTTGTAGTTACAGTGAGGGAAAAAGTATTTGATCCCCTGCTGATTTTGTACGTTTGCCCACTGACAAAGAAATGATCAGTCCATAATTTTAATGGTAGGTTTATTTGAACAGTGAGAGACAGAATAACAACAAAAAATCCAGAAAAACGCATGTCAAAAATGTTATAAATTGATTTGCATTTTAATGAGGGAAATAAGTATTTGACCCCCTCTCAATCAGAAAGATTTCTGGCTCCCAGGTGTCTTTTATACAGGTAACGAGCTGAGATTAGGAGCACACTCTTAAAGGGAGTGCTCCTAATCTCAGCTTGTTACCTGTATAAAAGACACCTGTTCACAGAAGCAATCAATCAATCAGATTCCCAACTCTCCACCATGGCTAAGACCAAAGAGCTCTCCAAGGATGTTAGGGCCAAGATTGTAGACCTACACAAGGCTGGAATGGGCTACAAGACCATTGCCCAGCAGCTTGGTGAGAAGGTGACAACAGTTGGTGCGATTATTGGCAAATGGAAGAAACACAAAAGAACTGTTAATCTCCCTCGGCCTGAGGCTCCATGCAAGATATCACCTCGTGGAGTTGCAATGATCATGAGAACGGTGAGGAATCAGCCGAGAACTACACGGGAAGATCTTGTCAATGATCTCAAGGCAGCTGGGACCATAGTCACCAAGAAAACAATTGGTAACACACTGCGCCGTGAACGACTGAAATTCTGCAGCGCCCACAAGGTCCCCCTGCTCAATAAAGCAGGGGGATCTTGCCAATGAGCATCTGAATGATTCAGAGGACAACGGGGTTGTGGTCAGATGAGACCAAAATGGAGCTCTTTGGCATCAACTCAACTCGCCGTGTTTGGAGGAGGAATGCTGCCTATGACCCCAAGAACACCATCCCCACCATCAAACATGGAGGTGGAAACATTATGGTTTGGCGGGTGTTTTTCTGCTAAGGGGACAGGACAACTTCACCGCATAAAAGGCACGATGGACGGGGCCATGTACCGTTAAATCTTGGGTGAGAACCTCCTTCCCTCAGCCAGGGCATTGAAAATGGGTCGTGGATGGGTATTCCAGCATGACAATGACCCAAAACACACGGCCAAGGCAACAAAGGAGTGGCTCAAGAAGAAGCACATTAAGGTCCTGGAGTGGCCTAGCCAGTCTCCAGACCTTAATCCCATAGAAAATCTGTGGAGGGAGCTGCGGGTTCGAGATGCCAAACGTCAGCCTCGAAACCTTAATGACTTGGATAAGATCTGCAAAGAGGAGTTGGACAAAATCCCTCCTGAGATGTGTGCAAACCTGGTGGCCAACTACAAGAAACGTCTGACTTCTTTGATTGCCAACAAGGGTTTTGCCACCAAGTACTAAGTCATGTTTTGCAGAGGGGTCAAATACTTATTTCCCTCATTAAAATGCAAATCAATTTATAACATTTTTGACATGCGTTTTCCCGGATTTTTTTGTTGTTATTCTGTCTCTCAGTGTTCAAATAAACTTGTTGAAAACATATCTCATGGTGGTTATAGGGGGGGGGGGGGGCAACTCGTAGCTTTGGCCATCAGGTGTGAGGGGGGCAAGGCACCCCCTACCTGCTCCCCACGCTCGTGACGCTCGCTGCTGGCTGCGTCTTCGGCTGACTCAAACCGCAAGCCACTTGCAAATCCACATTGGCAGCCATTTTTTTCTCTCTCAAAATGGCCACCAATAACTACAGGGACTCATCCGCGTTGGCTCTCCAACCAGGTCCCTGAGACCTTCGGATCGCCTTCTGCCTAAGGACTCCGAGGTCAATGCTCTCTTCCTGAAAGGGTTTATAGTTTTAGGTTATAGGGGTGATCAATCTTTTGCCACTGAGCAGCTCCCAAGGTCTGGGACAACGCTCTGTGCCTTTGTCTAAGAAGACAAATCAGAGTCGCTAGCTCTATTAAGTCCTGTCCTGAAAACTCACCTCTTTGAACTGGCATTATCCCCCCACCTCGGGCGCTGCGGTGGTGAGATGTTAACTCCCTCGCCTGGTATGCAAGAGGTCGTGGGTTCGATCCCAACCCTTACGCCTGTTGTATATTTGGCGTTTGCGTATATTTCTCTCTCCCCGTGAAATTTTGTATCTGGGTTCTCCGGTTTTTCCCTTTAGATTTATAATCAACATCACGCGTTTAGCGAATTTAACTGCTGTACATTTACACCCAATGATAAGCCACTTCGTTGAGCTATCATATGTGGCCAGGTCGCTTCTGAAAAAGAGCTACATAGTTCAGTGGGGCCTTACCTGGTAAAAAAAATATAGTTTATAGTTCTGATTCTAGATTTGAAGCTTTCGTGACTGCAAGGATTCATACTCTTTGTTTTTTTCGGTAAAGTCGCGTAGGTAAAAAGTTAATAGTTCTCGCCGTTTAACCTGTAGGTTCTGTTGATTTTCTGCTTTCCATACAAGGTGACGCATTGGGACCTACGGATTCAATGCGTCACTTTACAAATGTAAACTGTTATTGATTATATCTATTTTCGCTCCAACAATTGACAAAGTATGATTTAAGTGTGCTTTTCTTTGTTTGTAAGCGTGCAGTAACTGATTGTTATTTTTTTAACACAATTTCCAGTTTGCCCCGAGGCTTACCTGACAAGGGAAGTCTGTCCACTGGACATGTTCTGAACTAGTAACCCTTCACCCTTTCTGGCAATAAGACAGGAGCTGTATTAAGATGTCAAACACCAGAGAGATACACCTATTTAACACGGAGGCTTTCGCGACCAATATTGTTCCTAATAAAGGGTTTTGTTAGGAGATACACCTATTGTAAGGTATCATCAAGCCTGCATTAACCACACATACTTGAGGTAAAACGTGGAAGCAAACGTGCTCTGATAATAATAATAAATGCGTTGTCTTTTAAACTGATTGGCCTACACCAGAGACAGCGTTCTTGATGGCCTGGTCTCACCACTGCCCGACCAGAGAACAAAGCCAAAAGGCGACCCTTGCAAAGACGATGCCACACGCGTGCGAACACTCATAGCTCGGGTCGAGCAGTTACATCTGTGGGACCTCTTTGGGTACTGGCATAAAAAAAACGCCTCGTAGAGAGTCACCCTTTATAGATGCTGCTGCTCGCTAACAGCACTTGCTTCTTCAGCCTGTTAAGGCTATACGGGGGTCTTTGTCATCGTGTGTTGGTACAGAGAGGGGGTGCGTTCATAGTGTCAAGCTACGCGGCAGACAGGCGCAGTTGCGGGACTGCCAACTCCGCATGCATTCACCAGAAACACCG